CTTCAGGAACAGCTTTCTGTTGGGACATATCCTTCTTTTGTTTTCTAGGTACTTCTCTGGCAAGTTCTTCCTTCTTTTCGTCATCCTCTTCATTGTCCTAATTTCATCATACTCTTCCTCATCATCATTGTTGTCCTCAGCCACACTCATGACTTTCACAGGAACTACCTTGGCAGGGGCTTTCTTGCCTTTTGCCAGGATAGTGTCCATGGCCTCTTCTTCAGAGTCATCTTCTTCATCCTCCTCCTTCTTATCCTTATGGTAATCCTTATCATAGTTCTCCTCATCATCTTCATCATCGAAATGAGGGCAGCTGCTCCTTTAGTCATGATGAGTTCAAAATCATCCTCATCGTCTTCCTCACTGTCTTCATCATCTTCCTTGTTGCTCTCTTGCTTCTTGGCACTCTAGCAACTCTTTGCCCTTTTGGCTGAAGGATAAGTTCCCTTCTTATCGGAGGTCACCACCATGGTTTTGCCCAGCGTGGTTTCCTTCTTGCGAGGTGTTGCTATGGCTTTGTCTGCTGTAACTGTCTTCTTAGCTGGTGTGGTGACTACCTTCTTGCCAGGGGTGACAGCTGTTTTCTTGGCTGGTGTGGCAGCTACCTTTTTTTGTGGGGGAAACCACTACCTTCTTTGATGGCAGTGTGGTATTCTTCTCACCTTTTTTTCTGAGGAATGACAACCTCTGCTCTACTGCTTTCTTTTTTTTCTTCATCTTCTGATTTCCTCACTTTCCTCATCCTCACTGTCTTCTTCTACCTCCTTTCAGGGAGGAGCCAACTTCTTGGAATCACTGATTTTTCCTGGCTTTTGTGAGCTTCACCGTGATGGCAGCTGGGGACGATGGAGTGTGTGGAGGACGAGTGGCACAGATGAGAGTATGGTAATTCAAACAACATCGATGGCAGCCATGATGTTGTAGAGGCTGGAGCACACCCACTTGGCTATCAGATAGAGTTCGAGACTGAGGCGATAGCAAGTTATTATTCTTCATGATGTCCCACATAAATTTTTCTTAGGAGTTTTTCATTCTTTTTTTTGGATTGCTCTTCCAGCATATAGTATTTAGAGATTTGGCTTCAAGCTCACTATTTTGAACTTCTATAGATTCAGATCTACTCCTTTGCCCTTTTATTGTATTACTCATTTCTGAAATATTAGTATTAAACTTCTGGATTTATATTTGCAGGTTTTGTATTGCCGCCAATCTTTCATCTATTTAGTTTGTTTGCTACCCCAGTGTTTCCCTGTATTTTTGCTAAATTTTGTCTCTGTTCTCCTTGCTTTCTCTCAATCCATTGAAAGTACCTAAATATCATTCTCTTGAATTATTTTACAGGAAGTTCCAATGACTTTTCTTCATAAATGTGTTCTGGGTATGCATCTTGTTCACTTGTTTGAGCCATTCTGTCTTGTTTCTTCACTTGAACTGAAACTGTCTGTTGTCTCCAAGACATTGTGGTGTCATTGTATTTATATTTAATTGATGATTGTATGTTGGTTTGTTCTTACTCACAACCTGTCTCCTGGTGGGTGTGATTGGAGAATAGAAGCATGTGCACAGTTCTCAATTCACCATTTGTGCAGCACAGTTGAGGGTGAATTTGGCTGGTGTTGGTTGAAGTCTATCATTGATCAGGTGGTATAGGAGCTGGTATTTGTCTTGTTCAGTGGGTGGGACTTTAGATAGTATGGCTGTGACTGGGCTGTATAGACACAATTTCTGTCTTCCATTGGGGACATGCATACACGCAATAAAACTAACCAAACAAAATGAAAAAAGAAAATAATAAAGGATAAAAGTGGGAAAAAAATCAGCAGAAAGAAAAAATATTACAATAACCAAAAAGAGAGAAGACAGAAAGGAAAATTAAACCATGGAGAAGAAAAAGAAAAAGCACTAAACACAACTAAGGAGAAGGAAGGAGAAAAGAGAAAGACACTAGAGAGTAGTAAAGAAAAATCAAGGGCAAAAAAGAAAGAAGGGCGTGATAATAAAAACCAAAAGCAGAGATAGAAGACATAAAAATAAGGGAAGAGAAAGAAAAGAAGACAGAGAAGAAAAAACAAGCAAAAACAATGAAAGAATAAACAAATGAAAAAACAAGCAAAAACAATGAAAAAATAAGCAAAAACACTGAGGCCTGTGCCAAAACCAGAGGGGAGACAACTCTGGAGAGCTCTAGCCAGCCAAAGAGTTCATGCAGTGGGTTGGGGAAAGATGAGGCATTGGCATTCCCATCCCTAGACGTATGGTATTTTGAAATGGAATCTTAAAGGCAATTAGTGACTTCTGTTATGTATCCAGGTTTCAGGATTCATTTTATGGGTGTCATTCAGACTTCTCCCTTACCAAAATCACTTTGGTGTCAATGTTAGAGAGTACTCTGCTTAATGGAAAGACCATGAATAATAGTATTTATAAATGTTTTCTGATTATAAAAGTGTTTACTACATGCACTTGTTAAGTGGCATCATGTTGGTTCTTACTCGTAGTGACCCTGGTTTCGAGGAGCAAATGGTGGGTTTAAACCTGCAGCCATTTGGTTAGCAGTATAGTGTGTAACCTATTTTGCCATACAAGGGCATATGAAAAGAAAAAAACAAATAAAATAAGATATGTAAAATGAAATTTTTTTGTAATCTTATAATCTAGATAAATACAGAATAACATTTGGTATACTTTCATCCTTAAAATCTCATTAAAATTAGGATCACACACTCTGGTATTCTGAGTTATTTCCACTTAATATTATATCCTAATTTGAGCATTTTGCATTTTGTCAAATCTTTGAGCACCTAGTTTTAATAATATCATGAGTGAATTTTTGGTCATTTTATTTCTTCTCTAATTGTTACATTTGTGGTGAAAGATAATATTTTTTTTGAAGTCAGATGTTACTCTTTAAATAGACAATTTCTTAAATGTAGGAAGTTAGAATTTTCCTCCTATTCTGGAAGTAATTTGTTACCTCAATAACATCCTCTCTTTCCTCAGTTCTCTTCTCTTTCTTGAAATATTGAATATTTTCATTTGTCTCAGAATTTTTCCATCATTAGAAAGGGGAAGTTTTGTGTTCCCAATATTTGGAGTTATAAAGATTTCTTTTAGTACTGATGGAATTGTAGTTTATTATCAGTCTCTCATTCCCAAACAAGAAGGTCAAACCAGAGGCCAGGATCTTTGTTACTAGTTAGACTGGCATCTCACCCATGCTGAGACCCAGATCAGTTGGCACTCTGCCCAGACTGTCTCCTGGTGCTGATTACTTCTGTGCCTGAATTACTCTTATACTTGCATTTGCAAGAAGTTAAATAAATCCAAATAGGATAGATCCCAAAATAAAAACACCAAGACATATTATAATAAAACTTTTCAAAACCAAAGACAAGGAAAGAAGCCTGAGAGCAGCTCAGGGAAAAAAATGAAACGTTATCTATCAAAGAAAACTAATAAGATTAACCTCTGATTTCTCAGCAGAAACTATGCAGGCAAGAAGACAATGGGATAACATAAATAAAACTATGAAAGAAAGAAAAGCCAACCAAGAATCATATATCCAAAAAAATTGTCCATCAAACAGGATGGTAAAATTAAGTAGTTTTCAAATAAACAGAAATTAAAAGAATTTGTGAAAACCAGACTGACCTTAAAAAATTGCTAAAGGAAGTTCTTTGGACAGAGTACCAACAACAGCAGACAAAAACTTGGGACTAACATACATGACTTTGTAGCGTAGGAGCTCTGATAGCATAGTGGTTACGAATCGGGCTACTAACCTCAAGGTCGGCAGTTCGAAACTACCAGCGGTTCCGCGGGAGAAAGATGAGGTGTTCTGCTCCCGTAAAGATTTACAGCCTTGGAAACCCTGGGCAGGGTCACTATGAGTCGGAACCGACTCCATGGTACTTAACAAGAACAACAATATACATGACAATAACACTTAGACTCAACCCAGATAGGGAAATATTTTTACTGAATCAAATGCCTCTGTGAGCCATGGTGGTCTAGTGGACTACACATTGGTCTGTTAACTGCAAGATCAGTGGGTCAAACCTACCAGCTGCTCCATGGGAGAAAGGTGATATTGCTTCCTCCCATAAAGATTTTCAGTCTAGACCCTAGGCAGCAGTTCGACTGTCCTATCAAGTCCTTATGGGTTGACACAAGGTGTAGAGAGGGGGCTCACTCTCTAGATGTGAGAAAATTTCCTAGCATTCAGCCATGCGTTATCCTGAGTCATCTAGAACTCATAACATCCCTTGGCATCTATGATGGTAACCAAAGAATTGTTCAACTGGTCAATGGACTTGTTGGGGTTGCTATGTGCCATCGAATGCCATCAGTTCCTACTCATAGCTACCCTGAATATCATTTCTGAGGAGTAATTTTTGGATTTGAACTGCTGACCTTGTGATTAGTAGTCTAGTACTTATCCTACAGCACCACACCAGGACTTCCAATGGACTAGAGACCTGGATAAATTTGGATGTTTGTCCCGTACCAAATCTTAATACTGCAAATTCTTAATACTGCTTTCAAGTACTGAGCATGGAGCAAATATTCTTCTAGACTTGTGGTCTAAGAACCAGCAGCATGACCTGGAAGCTTATTTAAAAGCTAAAGTGTCCAGTCCTTCCCCTGACCTAAGGAAACAGAATCTGTATATCTTAACTAGATCCTTAGTTGAGTTATATATACACATTAAGTTACAGTAGCAAGTATTGTTCTAGAGCTCTTTGCACTGTACACTTTTGAACACAAGATGGCAGTATTTCCTATCCCCTTAGATTTTTTTCTCAGAATTGAAACAAAGTTCCGGAAATAGTTGGGTTAGGCCCCTGAGGGCTGAACTGGCTTGTCACTGACTGGTTGGGTAGGAAGGCTGAGAATTGCTCCCTGAGGATAGAAGAACCTTAGTAACACCCACTAAACTAAAGAGAAAAGCCTTTTGGCTGAAGCAGCTTAGTCTACATTTTAGGCCACAGTTTGGGAGAATGGAGTTGTTGCTGAGAATTGCTTTGGTGATATTGTGGCTTCAAGGTTGTGAGTTGTTGGTTTCTTGGTGATAGGAACAGAGAGATCCAGGGATGTAGCTAGCCCACAGGAGGGAGGGGAAGGGGCAGGATCTATTCTGCTTCATCTTTGATCATATCTGAGGTTATGGGGGGGGGGGGGAAATTGAATCTTAAAAGTGTCTGCAGAAATAACTAAACCTCCTGTCTCAGTGTTGTGTTTCTGCCTAGGGGTCAACAGCCAAAAGGTGGAACAGAGTCCTCCAGCCCTGAGCATGCAGGAGGGTGAGAAGGCCGTTCTGATCTGTAACTTCACAAGTTCGCCAACCTACTTACAATGGTACAGACAAGATCCAGGAAGAGGATTGGTCTTCTTGGTACGAATACGTGAAAATGATGGTGACAAATTGGAAGGAAGACTAAGGGTCACCTTTGAAAGGACCATCAAACAGAGCTCTCTTCAAATCCCAGCTTCCCAACCTGAAGACTCAGCCACCTACTTCTGTGCTGTAGACACACAGCAGGGCCCTGATACCCACTTCCTGCACCAAAACCTTGCTGGTCTCCTAAAGTCACCAGAGCTGGGGGCTGTGCCTTTAAGGCAGTTCCCACAGTTCCTGGCAAAATAAACCTACTGCTACTGAGTAAGACAGAGTAGACCGTCATAGAGTTTCTGAGACTGTAAATCTTTACAGGAACAGACACTCTCATCTTTCTCCCGATAAAATATTGAAAGGGGTAAAATGGATGGGACTGAGACTGGATTAACCAGGGGAAGGGGTTCTGTCTCACAGTCTCAGTGCAGTGGATACTTAATTTATGGCTTTGAATTACTCATGAGTCTCTGCAGGCCTCCATTTTCTCATCTAAAAATGATGAACTTGAATATATCAGTTCTCAAGTTTCCTCCAGCTCTAGAATTCAAACAGAGTTTAATTTTTGCAGGAAAAGTAGACTCTAAAAAAGAGTTGCTTTTTTTAGACTGTTAACTGCTCAGTTTTCGTGACTAGGCCAGAGCAGTAAGAGAAGCACACAGGTTTAAACACATTCCTCTTAAGCATATAAAATATGTTTTTCAGTCTAGATAAAACAAAACCCAAACCCAAAAAAAGTTCAAACATTTTTGAAACATTTCTAAACCAAACACCAAAGGATGATGATGATAGTGGTGATGTTAAGGATAAATAAAATAGACTTGTGTTCTCTATTACTGTTTTTTTTTGTGAATGGATGAGCAGGCTTTATTGGACAGTATGCCTAAGCATCTAAAGGATAGACTTTGAGTCCCTGTTTACTATGCATGTGGTGTCAGTGAGTGTGTCTTTATGTAACACTCTTTACGAGGGAAGGGTATTTGTATCTTCTTGTGTGAGGCATGGTTCTCTTCTATTTTTTCACTCTATTTTCACAAATGGTGTGGCTGTGTCAGACCTCTAACTTCACAACAGGGAAGAGTATCAATCACTGTCAGCATGAGTATCAGATTTCTGTGTGGTTGAGGTCAGACATACCTCCACCCTTTAATGTTTTTACCAGTTCTGACACTAGCTATCCCTCCCATAGCACTCTCTACTTCTCTGTTGTGTTCAGTAATTTGTAATGGCCAAAGAGAACTCACAGACCATACTCATGATTATATAGTTTACTATGAAAATAACAGGTTACACTTCAGAATCAGGAACGACTCAGGATACAGTTATTTGATCAGGATAGCTTGATGACCTTTGTAATTCTGGGATTCACATTTAGGTCTTTAATCCAAGCTGAGTTGGTTTTTGTATAAGGTGTTAGGTAAAGGTCTTGTTTCAGTCTTTTGCATATCGCTTTCCAATTCTGCCAGCACCATCTGTTGAAGAGACCATCTCCTTCCCATGCAATATACTTAGGTACTTTGTCGAAAATCAGTTGGCTGTATGTGGATGGATTAATTTCTAGATTCTCGATTTTGTTCCATTGATCAATGTATCTTTCATTATATCAGTACCAGGCTGCTTTGACCACTGTAGCCATGTAGTAAATTTTGAAATCAGGGAGTGAGAGGCTTCCCACCCTATTGTTCTTCTTAAGCAGTGCTTTGTTTAAATGCATCAAACTAGATCCTGTTTAGACATAACAAATTAATGTGGATTTTTGGGTGCAAATACATTTTTGTAATTCAAACATAGTTTTTTCATAACGCACATTTCCCATCAACTTCTTGAAGACCCCTTGTATATTGAATGAAGAAAATAGGATAAGAAAGCCCAGAAACACATGTCTGAAAATCAGTAAAAGAGCTGTGAATTGTTGGATTTCAGATTTACTCATTCAAGAAATATCTGAGTACCATGTTCCACAAATTGCTCTAAATATATGTGTCCTTAAAAATATGACTTTTGGTTTCCTAAAATGTGCTGTTTCATGAATAATTTGTTTATAGACCAATATGTTACTGAAAAAATGAAGCCACATGAGACTTGATTCCCTGATTTTCATCAGTTAAATTTGCCAACTGGTCATATTGCCTAGAGTAAGCATATGATGTGGGTTAGTGGTTAGTGATGGTGACATCATCATTTTACTGAAATCTGAGTGTGCATGAATTTGTGACACAACTAAAGAACCAAAGAACTGACTAGTATTGAAGCTAAGTGAACTTTGAGGTTCATCTAATCAGATCTATAATGCATGCATTACTATAAATGCCATTATTGATGATTTAAAGACATTTTATCATAATGTTTTTGAAATTTACTACATTAGTTGTTATTGTTGTTAAGTGCTGTCGAGTTGGTTCTGACCCACAGAATTTCCAGTGAACAACTGCAAACCGACTTTCCAGTCCAGCGACTTTAGCCCACAGCTCCACACCAGGCCTCCTATATTAGTAGTATGTAGTAAGGTAAATCAGTAATTGAAAACTTGTGTTGAAAAGCAAAAATACATGTATATACGAATAATCCAAAATCTTCTAAATCTTCACAAGTCTTAACGTTTTGCCATGCTTGCTTTATGTTTCCTACTAGGACCTTATTGCATAGTCTTTATCTCTTTTCTCCCAACTACCTTAGATTTGTTGTTGTTGATGTTAAGTGTCAAGTCGGTTCCACTCAGAGCGACCCTTCAAAAGGAATGGATGGTGGGTTTGAACCATGGACCTTGAGGTTAATTGTCCAGTGCTTATCCTACTGTGCCACACCAGGACCCCAATGATTGTACCTATTGATCTATTATGAGTTTTTCCAGTTTTTCAAGTCTGGGATCATAGAACAGTCACTGTTTTTGCATAGCTCCCTCTAACCCTTTCAGATTTTTTTTCTTCTGGACTTGGGTATTTGCCTCACGTGTATATGCTCCCCAGTACTTGGCTGAATACTCAAGGGGGAGGCTCTGAAGTTCCCCTTCTATGCAACTCTGTCTTCTCTGGAATTCTTGTCCTTTGATCCTTGGTTTCTCAGACTCTCAACTCTGATTTCTCAGTTCCCAGAGGAGGTAATTTTTGGATGTGTAGCTTTCTTTACTTCTGTATCTCAGGAATCATTTGTCCTTCATTGCCTGATAAACAGTGTTTTGACAACCACTGTTTTCTATATTGTCTTATTTTTGGTTGTTTCAAGAGAGAGGATAAATCTAGTATCTGTTTGTTTCTCCATAGTGACTGCTTACCACAACCTTTCCCCACTCATTTAAAAAAAAAAGAGAAAAATTTCAGGGTTATATTAGAATGTAAATGTTAAATTAGCACTGTATTTTAAAATGATATTTTATACTAATTTTGAAATACACAAACATTAAGATATAATTTTATAACCTCTAATTATGTTTCAATGGAGTCCTGGTGGCACAATGGTTAAGTGCTTGGCTGCTAACCAAAAGATTAGAGGTTTAAACCTAACCACTCACTCTGTGGGAGAGAGATCTGGTGATCTGTTCCCATGACGATTGTTGTTGTTCTGACTCATCGTGACCCTGTATAGGGTTTCTGAAGAGTGGCTGGTGGGTTTGAAGTACCTACCTTGTGTTAGCAATCCACTGCTTACCCTGCAATGCCACATCAGGAGTAGAAAACCCTATTGAATTCTGTCACATAAGGTCATTATGCATCTAAATTGACTTGATGACAACAAAAACAATTTTGTTTCAAAATAGATTTTCTGGTTCCCTCAGGATTTAATCTGATCCAGGTACCTGGAAAGGGGCATGGACCATTTTAGCTGCTTAGTGTTCACTGTCTCCACCATTTTCTAAAGAAGACAGATCTAAAATCCATATCTGAGTAGCAGCATACTAGGGAGATTTAGGAAAGTCACAATGCTGTGAGACTAACCCAAATTGGAGTAAGTGGCTTTTATAATCATAATTAAGTTAGATGAAATGGATTACAGGTAAACAGAAAATGATTTGATTCTTGTGGGGAAATCATTTGAAAATGGTTTATTTTCTTAGTATACATTACTCCCTATTGATTAGTACTGCTAGTAAAAACACAACTATCTGCTATGGTTCTGCTGTATAGATGAAAGAAAAGAGGAAAACTAAAATATGTACTAGCATTCCCCAACCCTTGCCCCAGGGTGAGGGTTGGCTATGTCTATCAGGAGTGTAAAGTTCAGTGGACACAGAATTAAAAGGGACCAGTAATTTTATTTTTAATTGGATTTAAAAAAAATTCCATTTATAATTTTCATAGAACTATATCTGCTATGATGTGGATAAAATCAAGAGGATTTTAATTTTGTCAACAGTGTTTACTCTTGGATAAATCTAGATTACTCCTCTATAATACAATTTATTACAGTCCAAAAAAATAAGTATAATTTACAATTGAAATAAAATACTCCTAAAGAGGTACACATATGTTTTGATTAATCATTAGCTTTAAGGGTTTATGGTACAATCATCCACCACTCTTATGTCAGTCTGGTGGTTTGCATGTTGCTATAATGATGGAAACGATGGCACTGGTGTTTTAATACCAGCAGGGTCTCCCATGGTGGACAGGCTTCAGCAGAGCTTCCAGAGTAGGATAGATTAAGAAGAAAGAGAGCTAGACTCTTTCTGAATGTTTAGCCACTGAAAATCTTATGAGTAAGCAGCAGAACATTGTCAGATAAAAAGCCAGTAGATGAAAACATTATGAATAGGAACAAAACATTGTGAGATACAGAGCCAGAAAAATGAGCATCTCAAGTTGGAAGGCACTCAAATGATGACTAGGGAAAAGCTGCTTCCTCAAAGTAGAATTGGCCATAATGACCTGAATGGAACAAGCTTTCAGGAGCTTCATTTGCTGATGGGGCACAATAAAGTGAGGAGAAACAGCTGTAAACATCCATTCATAATTGGAGCATGGAATAAAAAATGTAATTCTAGGAAAACTGGATGTTGTAAAATCTGAAATGGACTGCATAAAAATGAGTATCCTAGACATTTGTGAGCTAAAATGGACAGGTATTGGGGATTTTGTATCAAACAATCATATGGTTTACTGTGTTTGGAACAAAAAATTCAAGAGTCTCATAACAGCCATTGGAAACTCTATGGAGTGCAGTTCTACTCCGAAACATGTAGGGTAACATTGAATTGGAACTGATCTCATGGCAGCGGGTAGAATCTTATGTGGAACATGGGACCAGTGGTTTTTATTCAC